TATGTAATTCATATAATCAGGATTTTAAGAAGAAATAAATCTTGGGGTTTGTTTTGTTTGATGGATTTTCCACTATTTTATTATTTTTTATATTTATTATTTTTTAAGTGCAATAATGTGTTGGGGTGAGTGTAAGTCTTGTGCAGGTGAGAAAGAAGAGCAGCGTCCAACTCCATTGACTTCAGTGAACCTCACCAGAGTGTGGGATCTGGTTGGTCAGAGTTTCCATCCCCTTACCATATATGGCACGTAACTCTGGGATACTAAGGATACTCAGGTTACTCAGTGATCACTGTACCAGGAATATGTGGGAGCCACCGGGATGAGTCCTGTCTGCGCTGTGTCTTTGCAGGAGGAGTTTGAAGACAGTCCATCAAAACTGGTACTGGAGACCAGTGTGTAAAGCTACACAATTGTATTGTCTCACTGAAACATGAACGTCATTTGTGGCTTGATAGATTCCCACTGATATCTGAAAGATGTGTAGGAGTTTGGCACACCAACTCTTTTGAAATGATGACAAGCTTGTTGCTATGGCCCCCTGCTTGAACGCCAAATTGTGTTGGTCTGTGCCCTGAATCCTACCCTGAGATTGAAAGGGCAGGCTCTTCTGAACTCAAGAGAGAAGTGACCTTCTTGAAACCAAGTGACACAACCAAAGGAAGGTACTGGTGTGCAGAGCAGTTTTACCTTCTCTGTCAGAGGATGAGGTACCTTCCCAGTTTTCACAGGAATCTTTACTGTACACATTTCACAAAGCTCTATTGTGAATCACATTTGACTCTTTCTCTCCATGGTAAAAATGCAACTGATTTCCAAGCAGTGGTATCAAAGGAATCTTTCTGTGTCTTTCAAAAGCAAACATTGTTTCTTGACCATGTGCACTGGGTTTGGGCTGGGATGGAGCTCTTTTTCTTCACAGAAGCCCATGGGTTCCTTTGCTTTGCTTTTGTGGCTGAACATTTATTGACCACACATCAGTGTCTTGGCTGTTGCTGAGCACTGGTTGCTCACGCTCTCCCTCCCCACCCTCCCAGCAAATAGGTCGGGCGAGGGCAATAAACCTCTGTGATAACATACTTAAGGAGAGGGAAAAAACTAATCAGCAACAGCCAGAGAGTGGGGTGAGAGAAGCAGCTGTGTAGAAAGCAATGTCAGTGAAGAAGGAGGAGGAGGAGGTGTTCTGGGCACCAGAGCAGAGATTCCCCTGCAGCCCGTGGTGAAGACCATGGTGAGGAAGGCTGCCCTGCTGCAGCCCATGGAGGTTAATGGTGGAGCAGATATTCTCCTGGAGCCGATGCAGTTTAATGGTAGAGCAGCCCATTGAGGTTACAGGTGGAGCAGATATCCAGCTGCAGCCTATGGAGCTTAATTGTGGAACAGATACCCTCCTACAAGCTGTGGAGGACCCCACACTGGAGCAGGTGAATGCTGGAAGGAGGCTGTGACCCCGTGGGAATCCCACCCTGGAGCAGGCTCCTGGCAGTACCTGTGCGGCGTGGGGAGAGAGGAGCCTATACTGAAGTTCAACATGAAAACTGAAGAGTCCTACAGCTGAGGGGGAACAAATCCAAGACCCAGCATGTGCTGTGGGTCGCCCAGCTGTAAAGGAGCTTGGCAGAAAAGAACCTAAGGGTTCTGGTGGACACCAAGCTAAATGACATGCCCTTGCTACCCAGGGATATTGGTATCCAAGGCTGTATTGGGAGAAGTGCTGAACACAGGTCCCAAGAGGTGATCCTTGCCCTCTCCTCAGCACTGGAGGGGTCACACCTGCTTTTGAGCGCTCCCCAGTATAAGAGAGACATGGACATCCTGGAGAGAGTTCAGGGAAGATGATTAAAGAACTGGAGCATCTCTCACCTGAGGAAAAGTTGAGTGAGTGGGGACTGTCCAGCCTAGAGAAGAGAAGGCTCAGGGGAATCTTATCAAAGTATCTCAACACGTGAAGGGAGGGTGCAAAGGTGACAGAGCAAGGATCTTGTCAGTGGTGCTGGTGACAGGACAAGAGGCAATGGGCACAAACAGAAACACAGAAGGTTCCCTTTAAACTTCAGGAAACACTTTATTACTGTGAAGTTGACCCAGCACCAGTACAAGTTTTCAAAAGTCTCCATGCTGGGAGAAATTCAAAAACCATCTGGATACCTATGGTGAGTTGACCTTGGCTGGGCACCAGGTGCCTGCCAGGTTGCTCTATCATTCTCCCTCTTCAACAAAACCATAGAGTAGAAGAAGGAGGACAGTAATGAACAGTTCATGAAAAGAGTTCATGACAGTAACAGTTCATGAAAACGCACCTTCCAGAGGAAGTATTTATTACATGTTAATGTGAAAAAAAAATGTTGTTTTTCTTGAGCACCTCACATTTCCCTCAAAAGCTTTGTCATGCTGACACAAAGTTAAAAACCTGTCAGAGCTGGCCACTAAATTCCATCTGTCCCTTCCTGTCTCAGTTGTGTTCAGGAGATACAAACAAGGCAGCAGGTTGATCACATCTCCATCTGATCCCTGGCTGTACATTCTAGACCTTCACAATGTAGAGTGATCTAATCATCATCATCAAACCCCTGCACCATTTATAGAGTAGAAGAAGGAGGACAGTAATGAACAGTTCATGAAAAGAGTTCATGACAGTAACAGTTCATGAAAACGCACCTTCCAGAGGAAGTATTTATTACATGTTAATGTGAAAAAAAAATGTTGTTTTTCTTGAGCACCTCACATTTCCCTCAAAAGCTTTGTCATGCTGACACAAAGTTAAAAACCTGTCAGAGCTGGCCACTAAATTCCATCTGTCCCTTCCTGTCTCAGTTGTGTTCAGGAGATACAAACAAGGCAGCAGGTTGATCACATCTCCATCTGATCCCTGGCTGTACATTCTAGACCTTCACAATGTAGAGTGATCTAATCATCATCATCAAACCCCTGCACCATTTTCAGGGACTCAGTGTCAGGCTTTGCAGCAGCTGAGCCTGTGGAGAAGAAGGGAAGGAGTTTCCCTTCCCGGCTGCTGCCATCAGCAATGGTGAAAGTGTACAGAGCTGCTTTCTTACAGACATTGTAAAATGACAGCTGCTTGGATGAGATGTCCAGGAAGATCCTAATCTTTCGCAGCTTCCCACCCACACTCAAATGGGTCCAAGGCTCTGTGAAGGCCCAATACTCTCACCCATCTGTAGACCCCATGACCCAGAAGCCATTCTTGGGGGACAGAGTCAATGTCCCTTTGCGAGTCACAGATTCCCGGGCAATACCCAAGGCCCAGCTGCTTCTCTTGCCAACATCCACTTCCCAGTAGTGTCTCCCAGATGTGTATCCTTCTTTTGCCAACACATAAAGGTGGGAATCAAATCTCTTCTCATTCCTGGGCACCTTCGTGATGGTGCTGGTATCTTTCACACTTTTCCCATCCTCACAGAGTTCCAGTCTGGGGTGGGCCATGTCAGGATCCAGGGAGACATCCCCTGAAATGATCAAGTCATGCCATAAGGAGCAGAAAGGACAAGGTCTGCTTCTCTGAGGCTTTCTCTTGTGTCACCCTCCACCTCTCATTACTCTTTACCTCCAAACTCGGATGCACTGGGCAGCCTCTCGCCTCATGGGACCTCTATCTTCTCCCTTCCCATACCTCCCACATCCTTTCATTCCCATCCTGGGGCTGCTAACTTAGTGAGTGACCAGCCTGCATGCAGCAAAAGACAGGCCCTCAGTTAATGCTCCTGTGACTCCTCCGTGACCAAGGAGGAGGCTGTGGGGCTGAATGCCCTCGGCCTCCATCTTTGGTCTGGGGTGGGCCATGTCAGGATCCAGGGAGACATCCCCTGAAATGATCAAGTCATGCCATAAGGAGCAGAAAGGACAAGGTCTGCTTCTCTGAGGCTTTCTCTTGTGTCACCCTCCACCTCTCATTACTCTTTACCTCCAAACTCGGATGCACTGGGCAGCCTCTCGCCTCATGGGACCTCTATCTTCTCCCTTCCCATACCTCCCACATCCTTTCATTCCCATCCTGGGGCTGCTAACTTAGTGAGTGACCAGCCTGCATGCAGCAAAAGACAGGCCCTCAGTTAATGCTCCTGTGACTCCTCCGTGACCAAGGAGGAGGCTGTGGGGCTGAATGCCCTCGGCCTCCATCTTTGAATTGCTGCGAGGATGGTCTGGGAGTTGACCAGGCAGCTCCTCTTTGGGCAACACCAGAATCACAATTGAGTTGTCCAAGACTATTGAGAGAAAATCAAAATGGCCAAAGTTCTCCCTTGCAGAAACTGAAGAAGAAACTAGTGAGAGAATCAACCCTCAGCATCTGAGACCCACCTGTAAATCAGTTCAGATGCTCACATGTAATATATGTCATGATTACTCCTTAGCAAAGTTGGAAGATGATTTTCAAACTTTAAATAGATTCTCCTCAATAACTAGGACAGCACCAGTCCAGGGTTCTTCTTCACATGGGTTAGAATGGAAGAGTGATCTTCACTGCCACAAGGATGAGAAAATGTTTCATTTCCTCACGTTCCCCAGCGGCCTCCATCTTTGAATTGCTGCGAGGATGGTCTGGGAGTTGACCAGGCAGCTCCTCTTTGGGCAACACCAGAATCACAATTGAGTTGTCCAAGACTATTGAGAGAAAATCAAAATGGCCAAAGTTCTCCCTTGCAGAAACTGAAGAAGAAACTAGTGAGAGAATCAACCCTCAGCATCTGAGACCCACCTGTAAATCAGTTCAGATGCTCACATGTAATATATGTCATGATTACTCCTTAGCAAAGTTGGAAGATGATTTTCAAACTTTAAATAGATTCTCCTCAATAACTAGGACAGCACCAGTCCAGGGTTCTTCTTCACATGGGTTAGAATGGAAGAGTGATCTTCACTGCCACAAGGATGAGAAAATGTTTCATTTCCTCACGTTCCCCAGCTCATCAATGTACTTAACAAACACCTGACAGGACTCCAGCAAGGTGCAATGCCATGCACTAAGTTCCTGTAGCTCAGCTCAGATTTAAAGAAGAAGAACTTGCTCCTGCAGTGAAGAAACATTAGCTCAAAACACTTTTCCTGAATTGCCAAAGAGGGCAACACCAGGAGTGGGAGCCGGGGGCTGGAGTGGCCGATGCAAGCTGGTCATCCCTGCTCCCCACAGCTAAAATGGCTCCTGTCAAACATATGCAGGGTCTTTGGCAGCACACAACAAAGGAAACAGCTATCACACAATCCTTCTTCTTAGGGGTTTGTTCTTCAAACAGCTCTCTGAGTTTGTCAGATATGTTTTCAAGGGCCACATTCAGACTCCGAGTACTCACATGCATCATCTCCCTTTTGCTTACCTTTGTAGCGTTGCATTTTGAAAAGCTCTGTGGGGAAAGGACAAAAGCAGGCAATAAGTGGTTTTGTCAAGGCATGCTGCTCTCCAGTTTGCTAAGACACAGCTCATGCTGCTGGCCAAAGAGACCGTGTTCTCCTGTAGCAACATGCTTGTTCTGTAAATTGGAAAACAGGTCAAAAGGCCCCTGTGCCATCCTCCAAAGAGGCCAAGGCCTGAGGCCACTGGGATGCTCAGACTTTTAGCAGCAAAGATTGTAACAAGACCTAAAATATAGGTAGGAATTCTGGAGGAGTCAAAAGAAGATGCCATGCTGATGGCAAGGGAGAACAGACGGGAAGAAAGAGAGACGTTTTTGAAGGAGACGTCTCTGATTTGATGTATAATGGGAGGAGTTCAAGGCGCTTCATCAAAGCCATGTACAGGTGGGCCTTTCCTCTTAGAAAGGACCAAGAAGAAGCTGAACTTGTTTCCCTGCCCAGGAGGACCCAGCCCCAGAGCACACTGGAGCATGAACTGTTCATGAGCTGTTTGTTTGAGGAAGGGAACCGAGCCCAGGGAAACATGTTGCTGGAAGTTCAGAAGCCACACCAGCACGGATCGGGCACTCCTGAGTCAGGGGCAGGAGAGCAGAGCTTTCCCAGGTGCTGAGACCAGGCTTCCTCCCTTCATTTCTAACTCTGGGCCTTTCCCCCTGCCCGAATCCTGCCCTCCCTCAGGCGTGCACCTCCCAGGCGCTAAGGGTGCATGGGCTCTGGGGAAGTGGGAAGATCCTTCCACCTCCAGTTGATTGTTTTGGTGGCTTGAGTTCTGGAGGGATGGGGAAAGAGCACAGGCCCTGTGACCCTTCCTGAAGGCCCTCAAGGCTTCTCAAAAGCCCGGTGGGCAAGACGGAAGGGTGAAATCACACCTCTCCATCTTTTCTGCCAACAGGACTGGGTTGTAGAAGAGGAGTGGTTTGGTCAAGAGGAATGTGAGTGGATACAAGGAAAGAGATGGAAGCAAGAATTGGAGGTGGACACCTTCCCCACGTCTTGGAGTTACAGGGGCCTGTGATACTCACTCCCTTCAAAAAAAAGGGAGAGAAGAGGGAATATGACAAGCCACATTCAACACCTTTGTAGTGACATGTCTCACTGCTGGAAGTACGTTAGCTATTCGCCAAGAAAGGTCTCACCAACCCCTTCCATCTTCAGGAGGTGCAGAGGCCTCGCAAGCGGGACTGTTTGTCTGTAGGTGAGCTCCATGTCTGTTCTCCATGTCTGCTCTCAGGGTCTCCAGGTGCCGCTGTGTGGACCCCTGCATGTTCTGCAAAGCTGTCTGCAACACTTGCATTTGGGGAGAGATCTGCTGGAGGTCCTTCTCTCAAAAGGATTCCGGGGCCCGCATGCTGTTTGCCTCCACAGTCCTTTAGGTGAAGAATGACCGGGGGAGAATGGATAAGGAACAAGGGAGATTAATTTCTCTGATGGAGGCATTCCTGGTTGCCATAGAATGGCAGAAGGGTTCTAGCTTCAAGGTTCTTCACTGGAACCATGTGCAAACAGAGATGCACCTTCCTCACCAGCAGCCCAGCCACTGCCTGAGTGTCTCCCAGTGGCAACCAAATCTTTACCACCACAACTCTTCTTCTACAGTGCCTGAAAATATGCCCCATGCCCATTATCATTTCTACCTTCTGATTCTTCTCCAGATGTGTCTCCAAATAAGCAGTGGAGGGGGATCCAAGCTCAGTTGTCCAGCTATCTGCGCTACGTGACACAGAAGCCACCCTCAGCTCCCCCACTCTCAATGCAGTTGAGGAACTGTGTTTTTTTCAGGAAAGGGACACTGTTCAGGGTGAGATGGTGTTGCCAGGTCAGAAGCCACACCAGGACTGATCGGGCCCTCCCGAGCCAGGGCAAGAGGGGCAGGGCCAAGGCCTGTCAAATTTTGTTCCATAAGAAATCCCCAAGACCAAGAAAACAGGCAAGGGAAGCAGGAGACCTGCATGGTTTAGCAGGGACCTTCTGAAAAAACTCAAGTGGAAGCAGGAGGTTTACAGTGAGGGGAAGAAGGGACTAACTGCTTGGAAAGACTATAAGAATGCCAGTAGAGTATGAAGGGATGAAACGAGGAAAGCCAAGGCCTCCTTGGAATTAATATTAGCAAGGGATGTCAAAATTAACCAGAAGGGTTTTTTCAACTCTACTGGAGGCAAAAGGAACACAAGAGAAAATATGGGGCCACTGTTGAATGAGATGGGTGCCATGGTGACGGAGGATGAAGAGAAGGTGGAGTTGCTAAAGGCTTTCTTTGCTTCAGCCTTTACTGCTCAGGCCAGCCCTCAGGAGCCAAAGAATTTGAAATCACCAGAGAAGACTGGACAAAGGAAGCCCTTCCGTTGGTGCAGGACAACCAAGTTAAGGAGCACTTAAGTGAACTGGATACCCACAAGTCCATGGGTCCTGATGGGATGTACCCACAAGAGCTGAAAGAGCTGGCAGAAGTCATTGCTGAGCCACTCTCCATCATCTTCAAAACGTCCTGGAGAACAGGTGAGGTGCCTGAGGACTGGAGGAAAGCCAGTGTCATCCCTGTCTTCAAAAAGGGCAAGAAGGACAACCGGGGAAACTACAGGCTGGTCAACCTCACCTCCATCCCTGGAAAGGTGATGGAACGACATGTTCTGGGCGTCATCTCAGAAGCATCTGGAGGAAAAGAAAGCTATCAGAAGTAGTCAACAGGGATTCACCAAGGGGAAGTCATGTCTGACTAGTCTGATAGCCTTTTATGATGGTATGACTGGTTGGTTAGATGAGGGGAGGGCAGTGGATGTTGACTACCTTGACTTCAGCAAGGCTTTTGACACAGTCTCCCACAGCATCCTCATAGGTAAATTTAGGAAGTGTGGATTAGAGGAATGGACAGATTAAAATCTGTTTGAAAGACAGAGCTCAGAGGGTGGCACAGAATCTAGTTGGAGGTGTGTAAGAAGTGGAGTCCCCCTACCATCCCTCACAAGGCCATTTTCAGTGCTGTTTGGCCACTCAGTAAATGCTGGCAGCAACAGTGCTGTGGCGCTGAGGGTGGCCACATCACACAGTCCCTTCCTGCAACGCTTCATCCCAACCTTCCCTGCAGCTTCCATGGACCAATCCAACCTCCAGCGGGAGGCAGTGAGCACCAGCAACCATTAACAATCATGCATTCATGCTCTCAGCTAGTTTAGGAAGCTGATTGGGCAGAGAGGAAACTGTTCAGGGCTGGGTCCAGCTGCCTGAAATGGCTGCCTGCAATGTCCTTGACCACCTGTGGTGGGGCAAAGGAGAGGGGTGGAGACAGGAGGCTGCCCCATTGGACCTGCTGCCTTGCTCCGGAATGGCACTTCAGGTCCCTCTTGTGGATGCAGCTGCAAAGGCTTGAAAGGATTGTGGCCAACACCCAGCTCTCAGCCTTTTACTTGTTGCTGTATTAATTATGATGAAGCAATGGAAAGGATAATTACTGTGGTAGTGTCAGAGAACCTGCCCACAGACGAGAATTTCTCTTCCAGCCCAATTATTCCATTTTTTCTTTCCAAAAGCATGTTTTCCCTGCCTGGTTATCTCTGACATTTTGCACTGACTGCAAATCACAAACTCGTGGAGTTTTCCTTACGTGGACCTTTTTTTTTCCTCATTTTGACTGCAATGTTTCACAGGAAATAAAATGCAGTGTGAGGGCCCCATTGTGCTGCTGTCAAAGCGTGTCTATCATGAGGAGATACGAGTGACAAAGGAAGGGGTGGGCAGACTCCAGAATCCTGCAGAGGCCTCTAGTCCAAATACTGCTTCAACAGTGACCTTCTTGTACAAATCAGGAGTGGTGATGGGAGCAGAGCAGGGGACCCTATCAGATGTTGTGTTGAAGTTATCTCTACAGCAGCAGCTAGCCAAACACTACCTTAACGTTGGCCAGTTTCTGAACATGTAGTCTTTGGTGTGAATTGTTAATATGAGAAGCTTGATTCCTCAGAGTGTACTTTGTGTGCCTAAGTTACACAGAAGAAGATACAAGAAGCCTCCTGTGCTTCTCTTCTCCAGTGGGTCAGATGGGCACAGGTTCCCTTTGATGTCACATGGGATGGTATGGGATGTTGGGGAATGACACAGACCACAAGGTTTAAAGGAGAGAGGAGAGATGCGGTACTTGGCTCACTGAGGATTTTGTTCTACCCCCTTTCTCTGTCTCTTCCATTGCAGCACATCAGAAAGGATGACTATCTGGCTCCAGAACAGAAGAATGTGATTGTTTTGTTCCCTCAGCTTTTCCCCGTGTATGTTCTTGTTTGCATCAGGTAAGAAAACCTCTTTCAAGTGGTCTCCTGACATTTTTCAGGCTAAAGAGAAACAATCTCTTTATGTCACTTGAAGAAATAGATAATGGTCCAACAGAGTGATCTCATCAGTGTGTGGCCATTAGTACAACCAACCTAACAGGAATCCACAAAACTCTGTGGGAAGGAGTGATCCATGTGACCTGGGTCACTGTGAGCAATCAGGCCACAGCTGCTTGGAGCTCAGTGCAGGTGGTGTTGCCTGTCGTCTCTGCGAGCATTCCTGCTGAGGAAGGAGAGGAATACATTTTTGGAGACAGGAATTATTGGGGAGGTGGTATAAATGCTGTCCACACCATATGGAAAAGAAAGAAGACTTGGGATTTATTACTTCCCTTGGGGCTCAAAACAGCAAGGATCTGCCTGATGCTTTCCTCACGTACTTCCTTAGGTGGGATATGGAGGCATGGGAAGGTAGATGTTGGGCTTGCGAGCAGGTCCTCTTGCCAGCTCTCACCTTTCCTACTCCTCAACTTTCCATGGGGACATGAACATCAGCAGGAGGGTCACACTGAAAAGAGGTGATCCTGGCTCTGATCCAGGCACACAGCTCAACTTTTGGTTGCTCAGGAAGCTCCTTTTCCCAACTTCCAAGTAAAGAAGGAAAACGGTCTAACAAACAATTTTTTTGTTAAAGGGGTAACAGGACAGCAGAGCACCATGGCTCAACAAGGTAAGAGACAACACCTACTTTGAAGGCTTTGAGGATTAACTGGTACAGTTTTCTAGGCCTCCTGCCTCTGATGAGGTGCCTTCTATCACCTGGGTACTTCTCCCCACCACTGTGGTGAAACTCTCCATTCAGAAGTGTTGTGGACACAGCCGAGACCCAAGGGAAGGGTCTGATAGAATGAAGGATGGTTTTGCATCAGAATCCAGGCTTGGGGTTTCTGCCAATTTTCTTTGGATGTCCCTTGCACATGTTTGGGCCCACCGTCCTGGTGTCTTATCGACTCCCTATGAATCCATAATGGGCTCTAGGCTTGGGATGCCCTCGGTCAGTACCAGGACTCTTGACCATTTCCTCTCCTGCCTGATGAAGCCTGAGGGGAAAGCAATGGCAAAGCAAATATGGTGTTGGGCCCTAATGACCATGTGGAACATCTGTGAATCCTGTTTCCCCTCACTCATCTTTTTCTTCTTTTATAGCTTCAGAAATTAATTGCAACTTAGCCAAAGACAAACCCAGGCCCTAATGACCAGGTGGCCCATCTGTGAGTCCTGTTTCCCCTCACTCATCTTTTTCTTCTTTTATAGCTTCAGAAATTAATTGGAACTTAGCCAAAGACAAACCCAAGCTCAATGTTTATTTGTCATGGCTGTCTCACTGTGCTGGCCATTCAGGTCCTGCTTGGGGAGTGAGAGGAAGGGTGAGCTCTTGCTTGATCCACCCATTGCAGGGTCCCTCCAGTACCTCGGGCAGATAATTGTCTACCAGCATGGCATTGCTGGATGCTGCGTAGGGTCTAGACAGGGTGAGAGGAGGCTCTCAGGGCACCTCTGAAAGGTGAGGCTTTGGATTCTCTGGTGGAGGATTGGTTCAGCCTTTGGATGAGCACAGTGTTGTGACTTGGCCTTGTTGGGCTTCCCTTTGTCCCACTCAATCCTGTCTCCATTGAGGTGAGCAGCTCTTCTGGTGAAGGAAGGTGATCCTATATGCTGAGTAAACTCCTCAGTGAAGGGTGAAGTAGAAAACCTTCTCCCAGGTAGTTACTCATGGAGTGAAATGTTCAATTTTTGCATCAAAAATGCTGTATATGCCTGCAGTCTCCTGATTTGTGGGGTCCTTTGGGACAAAGACAGGAATTTATGATCCTATTGAAAAAAAGAATTTTTGGTGGAGCCACCTTAGAGACTTAATGATCTACTTAATGCTACTTCAATGATATATTAAATAAAATTTTTTTGAAAAAATGCAGGTTGGTCTTTGTCATCCATTTTACACACAGTTCTGGCAGCTTTATATAACAGAGTGTCACTGGCGGTATCCTGGCGTATCAGGAAGCTGAAACAGAAAGGTAAGATATTAGTGGAATTCTCTTGCATTTCATAGTTCATTCAAATCAAACAAGAATGCAGTGATCAGCTATTCTCAGCAAGGTCCATGCCCTCAAACATCAAAGCCATCCACGGCAGACATGACAGAGGGCTGACAGCAGCCTCGTGCCCTTCTGGAACATGAGCTGGAGCCAAGTGCAATACTCAGGGAACCCATGACAGGAGGCAGAGGACGGGCTCTGACTCCCCTGCTGTCTTACACATCCTCCCTTACGCTGCCACATACATTGGTTGCTCTTGCCTTTGACATGTCTCCATTTTCACAAGTATCCTCACCCAGGTTTAGGAAACCACCAGTTTTGTTGGACGGGCTACATTAAAACCACCTCCACTTTTGGTTTTGTCCCAGAGATTTGTACAAGCTGGGCACAAATTCCCTCCAGCACAGAGCCCCTGCTCTATGCTGTGAACAGCAAACATTTTGTCTGAACTTGAAGGATCTTCAATGTACTGACAATTAGGCTTTGGTGAGTACAGCCCCAGAAAATGGACTCATCATTTCTGATCAGTTCTGCTTTGTTCTCTCTTTCATTTGGCTCCAGAACTATGGAAGAAGGTAATATGTGCTAAGCAAAATGCTAACGAAAAAAAACTTATTTGAAATATTGGAACTTAGATGGCACTGAGGTTTAGATGGGAATGATGCCCCTCTGTTGTTCCCAACTGCGCTGCTGGATGTTTTTGCATGGCCAGAGTCAGTGCGAACCTACTTGGCTCTCCCTGGGTTCTCCTCCAAGGATGGTGCTTCTCACATGACAGAATCACTCCAGCTGGACCATATTAGTTCCCAGCTTACATGTATGTCATGTGTCTTTGTCCACCATCCCTCCATTGACTTTGGCCCTTTCAGCAGGAGAAACATGAGGGACGAGGTATGTCAGGGCAGAGAGTTCACGCACAGACATGAATCTGTAGGCATTGGGAAGTAATGGCCACAGGGAGAGTGCAACAGCAGTTGTGGGGAAGGGAGCGGTGTGGGTGGCCAGCACCCATCTAGGTGCAGGCTGGGATTGAGAAGACTCTGCTGCCCGTCACAGGTTGGCTGAGTTCTTCCTGATAGTACTGAAGTCTGCTTATTTTTCAGTTGAATGTCACAGGAATTGATATTTTAAAATGCCTTTTTTCTTGCAGGACGCTCATTATTAGCTGATGGTAAGTGCTCATTTCTCCTTGCAATTCACCCCTCTTTCAATATGGAAGGATACCTTTAAAACAGATGATGTGATAGCTAGAAGATATGGTGAAGGAGAATGTTTGGGAAGAAGGGCAACTCATTAAGGCTGCCTTACATTTCATTCAGAGATGTTATGATACTTTGAGAATGTGGAAGTATTACACATTTGGTCCCCCAAACTGGTGACTAATCTTAATGCTCCCCAAGCTGCATTTCTTGGTAATTCCTCCCTGTTAAAGAGTCTGTCCCATGAGCTTCCACATCCCTATTCCTTTCCAGCCAAACTCCCAAGAGCCTTTCAACAAAGAGAGGCAAAGACATCAAAAGAGAGTTTCCCAAGGAAAGACAAATCGGCTTCCAGAGGAACACAGTTTGGGGAGCCATACCCTTTGATAGTGGGTCACATCCTTCAAACTGGCATTTTACACTTGTAGCTGTCCTCTCCGTTCAGACTATGACTGCAGTGTTCTTGGGGTCCCTTAAGCAGATGTCCATTATCAGAGCACAAAACTGAGGTTCTCAGTTGTGGCTGCTGTCTCCTTAAAGAGCTTAACCTCGAAGAAAGCTAATGGGTGAAGGAGAGAGTAGGTCAAGTATGAAAAAGAGAGAAAGAAAGGGAGGAAGAGAAAAAAAAAGAAGGCAGGAAGGGAGGAAGGAAGAAAGTATGAACAGAATGAAGGACTATGATTTAAAGTGTGAAGGGAAGCCAACATGTGTGTGGCTTTAACAAGTTTCCTTTGTTCTGCTGCAAACCACCAGCACCCGAGGTCTAATCACACACTTGCACTAGTCCATGAATGCACTTCGCAAGAGAACCCCAGGTACAGAAAACACCTGGAGCTACAGGCTGCTTGGAGATAGTTCCTTCCTCTCCTTTTGACAACCTGGAAGGAGCCCCTGGCCTCTCCGGATAGGGCAAGAAGAAGAGACCTGCACTCTCCTGCAAAGATGGGGAGCTCTCCCCTAATGCCTCTCCAATGTCTCACTATCTCCTGTAAAGTTGGTCGCCCAAACCTGAGGATTCAATGCCAGGTGTGGCCTCCAAATCTCTCTCCATTTGTCACCTGGCCATGCTTCTAGACTTTCCTGTAGCACTTGGCCTTGCAGCTTCTTTGAGCCCATGCTGGGAAGATGGCATCCAGCCCTCATTTTGCAGAGCCCTTTCCTGCAAGTAACCATGAAGTCAGGCAAAGGAAAGGCAGACACAGCCAAAACCCCACCAGCTCTGGAAGCCGGCGGGGCACTGAGCCTGACGATCTCTCTTTTCTAATTGGTTTTTTCTCCTTCCTTTTCTAGCTGAGGAGCAGAAGGAGAAGGGTGAGTGGTCTGTGCTCTCTGGGGTCTTGCCAGCCAGCAAGGAGAGGCTCTTTCCAAGGGGGACATGGTGGTGTGTGTGGGAGAAGGGTGTTTCCCCATGGGCCATGAGTGTGGTGTCCTTGGGGTCTCTGCAGCAGGTGCCCATGTTCAGACAAGCTCGCTGAGGCCTTCAGGTGTGGCTGGAATCTGCCTGAAGAACTTGCTCCTGAAATGTGGTCATTTAGGAATACAAGACAAAATGTCAAGAAGAAGGGAAGAAAGACAGGGCTTGCCCTCACACACACTTGCACTAGTCCATGAATGCACTTTGCAAGCAACTCCCAGCTCCAGCAAACACCTTCCCTGGGGCTTCAGGCAATGCATCCTCCTTCTGCCCATCTAAACTGACTTTCTCTTTCCGTTTGCAGCACAACTACAAGAGCTGATAGGTGAGTGCTGCTTGCTGTGTGGGTGGCTGCTTGTCCCTCGAGTGCCAGATGGGACATGGGCCATGAGTGTGGTGTCCTTGGGGTCTCTGCAGCAGGTGCCCATGTTCAGACAAGCTCGCTGAGGCCTTCAGGTGTGGCTGGAATCTGCCTGAAGAACTTGCTCCTGAAATGTGGTCATTTAGGAATACAAGACAAAATGTCAAGAAGAAGGGAAGAAAGACAGGGCTTGCCCTCACACACACTTGCACTAGTCCATGAATGCACTTTGCAAGCAACTCCCAGCTCCAGCAAACACCTTCCCTGGGGCTTCAGGCAATGCATCCTCCTTCTGCCCATCTAAACTGACTTTCTCTTTCCGTTTGCAGCACAACTACAAGAGCTGATAGGTGAGTGCTGCTTGCTGTGTGGGTGGCTGCTTGTCCCTCGAGTGCCAGATGGGAACGGGGAGTGCTCTGTGTCCCTGGGGGCAGCCTTCCTCCCTTCATGCCTCAAACAGAGCCTGCTGTTTGCCTCCCTCTCTGCCCTGGGCCCTCCTGCCCCCACCTGACACCACTGCTCTCACATGGGACCTTTGACAGTTACGCGCAGGGGAAAAGGCATTTGATCCCGTCTCTCAAGCCAAGCACTGCTGTGTGCAGGAGAGGGACTCCAAAGTGTCCCAAGGAGTTGGTGGGGTGCCTGAGAGGCAGGGCAGAGGAGTATCCTTTGTGGAAGGGCATGCATCCCTGATGCTCCACGGCAACGAAAAAACAAGGGCCTTTTGTGTGAGCCAATCCCAAGAACATGCCAGCAGCCCCAAAGCCTCTCTCTTCTAACACCTGTGTCTTTTCTCTTCTAGTTCGCCTCCAGGAGGAAAATGGTAAATTCTCTTGTCTTCCTAAGAAATCCCCTTCCCAAAAGAGATGTTTTTTGCAAGAGGGAGACTGTGGTGTCCATGGGCCTCTGCAGAGGGAGGGCAGAAGGGCCTCCATTCTTCAGACGGGAATCCCAAGCAAATGCAAATGCCTTTCATTTCTTTCCTGTGTTCTTTGTCATTACAGAGCGACTGGAGAGAGAACACAGTAAGTGGCCTTTCCTTTCTGACGCGGCTGAGAACACACCCAGCTGCTGAGATGTCTTTCAAATATGCACTCAGCTCAGACCACCACCTTGTGCAGGGGAAGCTTCTGTGCTGTTAAGGAATGCTTTGTAAGAGCTGAGGGAATGATGTGCAGGGATGTGGCTTGGTCCATGGCTGTATGGAGAGTCCTGCCCTCTCAGGCTCACGGAAAAGGCGGTGGGAAGGGAGCTCGCGTGACGGCCAGTGTGACATTGGGTTGTTTGTGGCACGTTTAGGAGCAATGCCTGCTGTTCCACCTGGGCACAGGCAACCCAGGACCAGGGACCTCCAAGGGCTGTGTCTCTCCCAGCACAGGTGTCTCTCCAAAGGGTGCCTGTGCCTCGCTGCTCTCTGAAGATGGATTTCAGCCTTGTCTAGGCTATTGTTACGCATGTGTGTAGCCTCTCCCTGCACAGCTGCATTTTCAGGCAATGTTTCCCCAATCAGAGTCTCCTGCCATCTACCAATTGTTCTCACCATCCTCCCGGGCTCTGCCCTTCCTGGAGCTACAGGCTCCTTGGAGATAGTTCCTTCCTCTCCTTTTGACAACCTGGAAGAGGCCCTGGAAGGGCCTCTCCGGATAGGGCAGGCAGAACAGAACCTGCACTCTCCTGCAGAGATGTGGAGCTCTCCCCTAATGCCTCTCCAAAGTCTCACTATCTCTTCTAAACTTGACAGCCCAAACCTGAGGATTCAATGCCAGCTGTGGCTTTCAAATCTCTCTCCATATGTCACTTAGCCATTCTTGTAGAATTTCCTGTAACACTTGGACTTGCAGCTTCTGAGAGGCCCATGCTGGGCAGATGCCATCCGGTCCCCGTTTGGCAGAGCCCTTTCCTGCAAGTAACCACGAAGTCAGGCAAAGGAAAGGCAGACACAGCCAAACCCCACCAGCTCTGGAAGCTGGCGGGGCACTGAGCCTGATGATCTCTCTTTTCTAATTGGTCTTTTCTCCTTCCTTTGGTAGCTAAGGAGCAAGAGGAGAACGGTGAATGGTCTTTGTTCTCTTGGGTCTTGCCAGTCAGCAAGGAGAGGCTCTTCTCTTTCCAAGAGGGACATGGTGGTGTCAGAGGGAGAAGGGTGTTTCCATGTGAGCCATGAGTGTGGTGTCCTTGGGGTCTCTGCAGCAGGTGCCCATGTGCAGGGCACCCAGCTGAGGCCTTCAGGTGTGACTGGAATCTGCATGAAGGGCTTGCTCCTGAAAAGTGGTCATGTGGGAATAAAAGACAAATTGTAAAGAAGAAGGAAAGGAAGACAGACCACTGGGGTGGATAAACATTATTTTCCGTGAGGACAGAGTCATGGGTTGTGAGCACCTTCAAGGTTTCCAGGGACAGGGCTTGCCCTCACACACACTTGCACTAGTCCAGGAACGCACTTTGCAAGAGAATCCCAGCTCCAGCAAAAAACACCTTCCCTGGGGCTTCAGGCAATGCATCATCCTTCTGCCCATCTAAACTGCTTTTTTCCTTTCCTTTTCAGGACAACTGCAAAAGAAATTGTGTGAGTGCTGATTGTTGAGTGGGTGGCTGCATGTTTTTAGACTTTGTGGTGGGAATGGGGAGTGCTCCCTGTCCCTGTGCTCATCCCTCCTCCCTGCCAGCAAGAGTCACAGCCTGCTGCTTGCCTCCCGCTCTCTCTCTTTCCCACTTTCTTTTTCCCGGGCCCACTGGTCTGGCCCATTGCCTCCATCGGGAGCACAGAGGGGTAAATCATGGATTTGGGTACATGAGCCCATACTTCAAAGTGGGATTCCACCCTTGCCAAGGATATGTTCCCCACATGTCTAGTCTCACCCTCCCCAGCTCTGTTTCATGGCTTTTAGTGACCATGGGCCTTTTCTTTTAAAGAGAGATCAGAAGATCATCCTTGCTTTTTAAGGACGTCTTCTAGAAATGCCTATGATTCTGGTTTTAATCCCTCTTCTCTTTGTCATTACATACCAATCACTGATAGGAAAGAGTAAGTGACGTTGTCTTCTGACGCTCTTTACAAAATGCACAACTGCTGAGATATCCTTTGAGAACTTCCTCAGCTCAGCAAAGTGCTCTCACATCACTCCATTTTGTTGGAAAACATCATTTCATGTTGAGGAACACCTTTGTGGCAGAGACATAATTAGACCAAAGGGATAGGAATTAGGCCATGGGATAAATTCTGGACAGGAAGGAATCCATTCCCTGAAAATGTACAGCAATGGGGTTATGAAGCAGTTTTGCAATGAGGTATTGTCAAGTGTCTGGAAGACACTGGGATTTTCCCTTTCATGACAGCTGTGGGATACCTCTGCAGACATGAGGTTTTGGCCTTTTTAGGGGTCTGCTCTCTTTCCTACGAGGGACCATGGTGTGTTCATGGTGTGTTTAACATGCTTCTCTGAGACCCATCACTCAAGTGTCCCGCTGGCTTTTCGTCCTTGGAGGTGCTTTCTGACCTGTACTAAAGACCTGTTATGGCAGAAGAGCATGTTCCTCTGCCAGCCTTATAGACTGGGTGTGAGCTCACTGGAGTTGTGGTCTCCTTGTTAAAACCACTCAATGTCTCCTTTTTTCACCTCCCTACAGAACTTCTGAAGACACAACGACACAAAGGTAAGAAAGGGACCTGTGCTGAATGCCATCTCCTGCAGCCTGAATGCAGCTCTAGACAATATATTCCTCCTTCACAAGCAATGGGTGTTCAGATCCTTGTTCAGATGGCTTCTCAGGAGCAGGAATTGTTCCTTATTCTTTCCCTTCTTCACTTGCTGCACAAGAAACTTCACCATTTGAAGGCACGCTTCTCACCCTCTGTTCACCTCCCTTACAATCCTCCTTGATGCCACATGACATTTTAGAGGGGGTGTCTTTGAGTCGCTTTGCATTTGGTGTGTGCTGACCACACTCTCAATGTTCCATAGATGAGAGACGAAGGAAATGGGAGTTTTGGGACAGCAGTTATCCAGGGCAGTAGTGACTGCATCAGAGTGGAGAAGGAGGACGGGAGGGGAAGCAACGGGAGGCAAAACCTAACAGAAAGTTCCACCACAAAGGTTACTATGATGCTTTTGACTACTGAAGTAACTTGATCATTGCAGTGGATGTCACCCTGGATCCTGACACTGCCCACCCCAGACTGGAAATCTTTAACAATGGGAAGAGTGTGAAAGATACTGGTACCATCAAGAAGGTGTCCAGGAATGAGAAGAGATTTGATTCCCACACGTTTGTGCTGGCAAAGGAAGGATACACATCTGGGAGACACTACTGGGAAGTGGATGTTGGCAAGAGAAGCAGCTGGGCCTTGGGTATTGCCCGGGAATCTGTGACTCGCAAAGGGACATTGACTCTGTCCCCCAAGAATGGCTTCTGGGTCATGGGGTGTACAGATGGGCGAGAGTATTGGGCCTACACAGAGCCTTGGACCCGTTTGAGTGTGGGTGGGAAGGTGCCAGAGATTGGGATCTTCCTGGACATCTCATCCAAGCAGCTGTCATTTTACAATGTCCGTAAGAAAGCAGCTCTGCACACTTTCACCATTGCTGATGGCAGCAGCGGGGAAGGGAAACTCCTTCCCTTCTTCTCCACAGGCTCAGCTGCTGCAAAGCCTGACACTGAGCCACTGAACATAGTGTAGAGGTTTGATGATGATGATGAATAGATCACTCTGCATTGTGAAGGTCTAGAATGTACAGCCAGGGATGAGATGGAGATGTGATCAACCTGCTGCCTTGTTTGTATCTCCTGAACACAGCTGAGGTAGGAAGGGACAGATGTAGTAGAGTGACCAGCTCTGACAGCTTTTAAACTATGCATCAGAATGAAAAAGCTATTGAGGCAAATTTTAGGGGCTCAAGAAAAAACTTTTTTTTTTTTTTCGTGGCAACATGGAATAAATACTTCTTCTGGAAGGTGTGTTTTCAGAAAAATTTACTGGTCCTTTTTCTTATACTTTGTTGTTTTGGGTTTTGTTGAAGAGGAAGAATGATAGAGCAACCTGGTAAGAACCTGGTGTCCAGCCAAGGTCAAGCCACCATAGATGTCCAGTTGGCTTTTGACTATCTCCCAGGATGGAGACTCTCTTGGAAACTTGTGCTTGGTCACCTTCACAGTAATAAAGCATTTCCTGATGTTCAGAGGGAATCTTCTGTGTTTCTGTTTGTGCCCATGGCATCTTGTCCTGTCACCAGCACCACTGGCAAGAGCCTGGCTCTCTGTCACCTTTGCACCCTCCCTTCAGCTGTTGAGATGCTTTGAGAAGATTCCCCTGAGCCTTCTCTTCTCTGGGCTGCACAGTCCCTGTGGGAGAATTCTTAGAAATTAATGGTCATCCTGTGAGCACCCCAAGCTCTGGGCAGCTGTTGACAATAGGCCTCTGATGCCATGGTCTCCCCAACATCAAGCCTAAGCCCCCCCCAGTCACTTTCTACCCTTGGGTTACCAGAGCAGAGAACCATCCCAGAGCAGGAAATACAACTGGAGATTGGAAAAGGAAACCCAAAGTGAGCGGCCCACAATAGAAACGGGCAGGAGAGGAGAGAAAGGGGAGAAAGAGGAATCTTTCTGTTGATTTTCCAGCGGGTGCACTCCATTGGCTTCAGATGCTTCTCCCTGGAGTTCACCATCTCCATGCCTGCCCCACAGAGGGGGTCTGACCCACCAGGGAAGGAGGGATCCCAAGCAGGTGAATCCAGCTCCCCTGGGGACGCAGCGCAGGGACTGAACCCAGGGATTGTGCAGCAAACGGGGAGGAGACACGGGGCTGGGAGGGTCTGGACCAGGGGAGGATGCGCACGGGACCACGCGGACCCCTCTCCACCCATGGAAGCTCAGAGGAGACTGGGCTGAAGACCCGTCTCCCACTGCTCCTTGGCCAGACGGGGGTTCTACAAGCCTCAGCTCCACGCTCGCCACGTCTCTGAGCTCCTGCCAGTGGAGCTCCACGGTTGGTTTCATCAAGCAAATGCAGTGGAGCTCCCAGGCTGGTTTTTAGCAGGCAAAGGATGGATCTACCTCTGGAGATCCCCTGGGCTTCCCTCACAAGCTTCTTTCTCCCTCCCTGTTGTGAGACCAGAGAAATGCTCTGGAGAATCCGTGGCAATGACCACAGTGAACTGCCAGTTTCTAGAGGTTGTGACTGAGAGAAATTGCCCCAAGACGACATCCCTTGGCTCAAAGCCACCTGCACTGCATCTCCAACCTCCAGAAGCACCTCTCCAGAGCCCTGGGAACACAATTTCTTCACCTGCAGCCTCAGAGACACAGCCCTTGGCCAAAACCCACTGCCCGAGCCAGTTGCAGGAGGAGAGTTTGCTCCAGCTCTCAACATCATAGTGGCTCTTGGGCATAAATTAATTCAAATGGTGCATTAATTGAAAAGGTGTTTTGCCTCTGATTGTCAGCACTTTGTGTGGGTCTCTGAAGGCCTCGTGGGTCCTTAATCCTCCACCACATGGAGATCGGAGCTGGAGTCCCTCACAAGTCTTGCTTCTAGACCTCACTTCTTATGTTTAGAGCCCAACAAGACATTGCTCAAAGGCACATCCAGCACTGGGACCTGTTGCCAGCAACACCAAGCATGGGAGATGATAAATCTGGAGGGTCTTCTCATCAGAAAGGTCCACCAAAGGCACCATCTTCTCTGGTGACATTTGAGAAGGACTAAGGGGTGAAGTAAAAAGGTAAAGTTGGGTTTAGAGCTTGTGTCACCCACTCCCTGTCTCCAGGGTGATGGAGAGGGGTGATGGAGACATCTCTGCATGGCTTTGCCCGTTCCAACCTCTCAGCTGCCTCTAACTCCTCAGCCAGTCACCAAAATGCTTTGATTTGCATTTCAAAGCTTGCTCAAACCTTTCTTCCCCACAAAACCCAGCAGAACTCATCCTTCCCTCACCACCAAACCATAGCCCCAGTGAGGCCCCGTCCACCTCTGCTGTCCCACCACATTCCTTCTGGTCTCCTGGTTTGGCTGTTGCTGACACTTCCAACCCCAAACCAATAATAAAATTATTTTAAAAAATAAAGTCTCCCCTACAGTCTATTTATCAGCAGGAAACATCAAGCCTGGACACTGCTGTGACACAGCTCCTGGTGACCACCAGCCTCTCCTCAGATAACGTGGTACATGAAGGCGACCAGAGCTGTTTTCTCCTTCACCACATGGGAAAGAAAGCAGAACAAAATGAAGAGATCTGTCCCAGAGCTCTCAGTGCTCGCCTGGAGGTGCTCCAGGTACAGCACATTTTATCATCAAAATGTCCCCCCTCTGGATGGAGGGATGGGCAGGCAGATGGATGGAGAACACAGAGGTGGGTTGGGTTAGGAGGGAGATGACCCAGAGACTGGCACAACCTCTGTAGGAACATCAGGAATGGAAACAGAGTGATGGTCTGACAGACGTAGGGCAAGGTTCCGTGTTCTGAACCCAACCTCCAGGTAGAAAATGTGGTTCAAGGGTCTGGAGAAGAGGATGGAGAACAGGAAGGTGTCTGTCCCCTACACCAGGACCACCAGCTGGACAAACACTAAATCTAAACCCAAGCTGTAAGTGAAACCAAAAAGCATCTGCAGGAGGGCAGCTTTCCACCCGACCTTGCATCCAAGCAAGCTCCCCAGCCCCAGCCCCAGCTCAGTCCACCCACAGGACCTTATCAGAAGTGAATTCTGTTTGGTATGCTAATTTGCGTTTCAATGCTTCTCTTATATTTTCAAATTATTTTCAAATTATTATCAGATTTCTTTT